ATGCTCTTTCAACGGTAGCCCTGCAGTCCTTGCCCATGGGTAATTGTGTTCTAGCGGTGCCGCTGAGCTTGTCAGTGCCAGAGGAGCCCATCACACAAGGGCATCCTGCACACCCTGTTCTGGGCCATGGAGTGGGGCAGCCTCAGACCTGCACCAGAATCATGTCCCTACCACACCAGTCTGGCTGTTCTCTTTACAGTCTGGACTCCCCCTGCCCTGCTCCCCTTGCGAAGCTGGGGTTCTCACACCCACTGCGGCTTCCACTGAGCAGCTGGGTGCTTCTAAACTTGAAACTGGCTTCACATTGGCACCTCCTTCTGGGCCTCCAGTGCTTCTTGATGCCCCCTGACCAGCACCCGCCCCCTCAGCCTGGCACCTGGTACCCTCTTGTCCCTCACACCCAATGCTGAACCCCTACAGCTCCTTCCTTCCTTTTAGTCAGTGGCCGCTTCCCTCCTGGGCCCTGTACTTCAAGGTTCCTGCAGTGTTTTCCAAAGGCCTCCTTGTCACCCACTACCTCCGCAAGCTGGTTCTTCTGTGTCTTCCTGCTTGTCATCCTGTCCCCTAGAGCTCCTTTCCCTACACTATTCCTGACTGTTCCCTTCTTCTCGGCGTTGCTGAGGGGACAAATCCATGCCATTCCTCTGGTGTCCCCAGCACCCACACCAAATGATGTCTGGGTGAGTTAATGCTGCTCAGTCATCTGTGCTGCCCCTTAGCAGCTGTGGGGAAGTATCTGGGAGAAACTCTATATCTATGGTTACTAGCTAAACCAAGAAGGGAGATTCAAGAGTTAGTTGTATCAGCTTAGTTTGTGACAATGACTGACTTCTACATTTCTGTCAGAAGTGGAGTTCTAGAAGGAGGCAATATCCTCAGGATTACTCTGCTCATCTCTCCCATGGAGGCTGAGGAAGCTGAGGCAGAATCTGTGTGGAGTCCCACAGCTTGCTGGGCCTCAGGGACCAGCACGGAGCTGTCCTACACCAGGGCAGCCTTGAACTGGCTGCAGAAACCAGGGGACCTCCTGGAGGTCACAACTTTTGGCACCTAAAGTCCTAGAGCACAGCTGTGAAGGGGGCAGGTGCTGAAAGATGTAAACAAATGCCTACATAAGCACGGCTCTGGAGAGGTCCCCCAACTCTTGCCCTGTCCCCACCCCCAAGATCAGGCCCCCCACACACGTCCTCTCTGCCCATCTCACATCAGGGCCACAGGCCCCACTGGGCATCTACACAGAAGCTGCATGTACAGAAGAGAAGTGCATGACAGAACAGGGTGGGGGAGTGGCAGGGAAGTGAGCAGGGGGACCCCTGCACCCGCCATTCTGGGCCCCCGGCTCTGCCGCCTGTGATCCACTTACATGGGGGCTGCAGCCCAGCCCTGGTCCTGGTGCCCTCCAGCTCTCGGCCATCACGGTCCACACACCAGCAGTAGCCAGTGCTGCTGTGGCACTGGGTGGGCGCATAATGCCCATGTTCATCACACTCAGGGACAAAGAGCCCCGGTGGCCTGGGCCGCTGTGTGTCTGCCGCCCCCACTGCGCCAAGAATGTGTTCTCGCTCCTGCTGGCACCGGGTTTTCTCCATCTCTGTCAGAGACAACAAAGGAAGCCATCAGCTGGGTTAGATGTGCTTGTGTACACTGAGCTTCCCGTCCATGACTCAGACCACAAGGGCACCTGCCTATCACTGGATTTAGTGTCACTAACTTTTACAAATTTAAAACATCAATATGATTTAATGTATTTAACTGTCACGATTACATCATCTTTACTCTCAAAGTTTTTAAACAATTTTTAAAAATCAAGACAAAACATAACATAAAAGGAGCGTTTCAAAGTGAAAAATTCAATAGCATGGTACATTCACAGTGCTGCACCATCTAGTTCTGAAACATTTCCAACACCCCAAAAGGAAACCCTGTACCCGGAAGCAATTGCTCCCACTTATTTTTTGGGGGGGTTGTTTTATTTTTTGATGTAGTACTGGTGAGTGAACCCAGGGCCATTGCACTGAGGTATAGCCACAGCCCTTTTTTCTTTTTGTGACAGGGTCTTACTAAGTTGTTAAGTTGACCAGGCTCTAATTTAATCCTCCTGCCTCAGTCTCAGAAGGTTAGGATTACAGGTATGCATCACAACACCTGGCTTATAAGGACTTTTAAATTTTCCTTAAATGTGTCTTTTTCACTCTCATGCTCCTTGCTGACTGATACTGAATCAAGGTCAAAGATTCTGGAGATCAAAGACCAGAGTGCTCATCAACTCTAGTGTTTTCCTTTAATTATTTGAGATGAAACTGGGTGTCTAAACCATGCAACCCAAGTCCCAAAGCAGATACTATAAGTGCTCTGACATAAGCCACGCCCCAGAACAAATGACTTCCAAACACCCAGATTTACAGAGGGTCCCATGCTTGCTGGAGCCCAGTCACCACAAGGCCCAGGCCCAGGTGGTCACCTCTGCAGTGGCTAAGGAGCTCTAGGGCAGGGCTTTGCAGAGCCAACTTTGACACTCTCTGTCACAACTACCCAACTCTATGGTTGCGGTGCAAAAGCAATCATGTGGTTCCTCTCATCCCTGGCCTTGGGGACTAAATCCAGGGGTGCTCTACCACTGAGCTACATTCCCAGCCCTTTTTATTCATTTTGAGACAGAGTCTTGCTAAATTGCCCAGGCTAGGTTCAAACTTGCGATACTTCTGCCTCAGCCTCTTGAGTTGCTTGCATTACATGTATGTGCCACCATTCCTGGCTGCAACCATGCTTAATACACAAATGAAAAAAAAAAAGGGAACGACCAAAGGGATGGGAGAGGGGGAGGGAAGGGAAAGGTGATGAAGGAATTAAGATGTGTTATATACACATGCCAACTCCCACAAAGATAAACATTATGTACTACACACGTGTACTAATAAAATAAAATGGAAAATGCACAAAAATACTTAAATGAACGTGGTTGTATTCCATGGAAACTTTAATAAAAGAAAGAAAAACTATATATGATAGCACATGCCTGTACCCCAGCCCTCTGGGAGACAGGCAAGAGGATCCAAGTTTGACCCAGCCTGGAAAACTTAGTGACTTAGCAAAAACATGTCTCAAAAGAAAAAAAAAAAATTGGGAAAGTACATCAGAGCAAAGGCCTTGATTCTACCCCAGTACTGGAAGAAAAAAAAGACAATCAGCCAGATTTGGCTGACTGGTACGGTAGTTGCCAACTCCTGCTCTAGGGCATTACTCATTACATAAGGAGGAAAAACGTGTGTGTGTATTAATACATATTAGTAAAACACACTGTAAAAAGCCATGACTTCCGGTGTTACCATGGGCATGTCCACAATGCTGCCCAGCCCCCACCTCCCTCAGCTATAGAACAGCTGACAGCAGCAGTGCCCCTCCCAGGATTACTCTGAGGAGTAAGGGGCACGTGACAAGTGCTACGGTTTCCCCAGTGTTCACCTGTTGGGGAACCAATCCCCAATGCAATTGTGTTGAGAGGTGAGACCTTTAAGAGGTAGAGAGGTTGCAAGGAATCTGTCTGGCGGAATGCACAACTGGTATTTTTGTGGGACTAGGTTCCCTGTCTCTCGCCTAGATGATGCTTTTTGCCAGGTTATGATACAGCCCTCAAGAGTCCATCTAGCCTCCAGAACCATGGGCAAAATAAATTTGTTTCTTATAAATTACCTAGTGTATGGTATTCTGTTACAGCAGCAGCAAATGCACTGAGACAACACACACAGATAGAATGATAAGCTCTGCACCCAAATGTTCACCTTGGACTGTACCTGCGGAAGGCAGATACGATGACATTCAGTGGGTGTGCTGCCGGCGCACGTGTAAAGCACCTTTTGTGTACTGTCCTGTCAGCCAGCCTAACATGACTGCTCCCTTGATTAGGGGCAGTTAGCGTGCCAGAAAAGTGTTTGTTGCACCTGGCAAGAGAAAAAACTGTGTATATTTTCCTTCTAACCCAGGGCTAATTTAAACAAAACATTTGATGTAGGAAGAGCCAAACAAAGATATGAATAAGCCATCTGGTTAGAAGAAAAATGTTGGGTTTTATACATTCCTGGACATAAAATCTATCTACTTCCTCAAACCTTTCCATTTGTATTGGGTTTTAGCGTTTCCATATTAGCTGTCCTTATTCACATACATTTTTTATTTAACTTCCCTTGTAATCTTGTGTGATGGGCAACTGGTTTTTATATCAAATGAGAAAAGAGAAGCTCAAAGAGTTCATGAAGGAACTCCCCAGGGCCACAACATGAGTGGGTCAGCTCGAACTAGAATCTGGGTCTCTGGATTCCTGCTCCAGGGCCCAGGACACTTACATGCATTAGACATATTATGTCAACTACGATATACAAGTCTAACACACTCAAAGTACCTGAGAACCCTAGGCAGTTTCCTCTCAGCCACATCTCTACACAGATCTGCTTTTCTAGCTGCAAAGTAGGGTTGGTGCGCTGTGTGGTCTGTCAAGTCAAAATTTAAGAGAGCCCAGATTATTCTATTTTACATAGCTGACAAGAGTTTTGTGTTAATTTGGTGTCTGACCTACAAAAACCTCAGTGACCCAGATGTAGCACACCTATATTCCCAGCACTCTGAGAAGCTGAGGCAGGAGGATTGCCAAGTTTGAACTCATTTTTGGCAATTGAGTGTCTTAATGAGACCCTTTTTTTTGGTACTGGGAATCGAACTCAGGACCTTGTGCTTGCAAGGCAGGCACCGGAACCATGAGCTAAATCCCTGGCCTGAGACCCTTTTTCAAAAATAAAAGAATTTTAAAATGCTGGGGATGTAGCTGAGTGCAAAGGCCCTGAGTTTCAATCCCCAATACCATAAAAACAAAACAAAAAACTCTCAGTGATCTGGAATCGACAGTGAAACTTTTAAGTGCTGTATCTTGAGTTTACGAAAAGGAAGGGAAACCTCAATTCTGACTCAGGAAACTGAATTTTAAGTGTGTTTACAGAAAACTGTGACCTCAGTGGGGCTCCTAGGATGTTGCTGAGCCGGGCCAGCAGGCAGTGGAAAGCCTCTGATGAGGTCTCCAGGCCCCAGGGATTGTCCAGCGAGGCCCTGCTGGATGAGTGGACAGTGGGGTTATAGAGGGTTGTTTCCTGGGATTGCGTCTGGTTGGAAAAGTGCTGGCGCAGGTGGGCTGCTTCTTGGCCATCTGGACTGAGAGGCTCCAGGAGGAAGCTCTCAGGCTGATAATCATCAGAGTAAGAGCAGGAAGTCAGGTGACTTCTCAAAGAGGGAACAAAGAGAGTGAGAGGGAAATGAAGCAGAGACAGAAGTAAGGCTGGGATGAGGACCCTGGTCAGGGAGCACAGGAAGGGGAGAGTTAGGAAGTTAAGAAGAAAAGCTGCTCATCATGGACTTGGGTGGCACCTAGGTGACACATCTGCAGTGTCCCCAATGCACTGTCAGCCTGGATACAGTAGCTGCCTGATGGAAAGCCAAGGAGAACAGGAGGCCCAGAAATCCTGGGTATGGGTGGGCCTGGCTGACGTGCTGCTCCTGACGTGCTGCTCCTGACGTGCAGGTTAGAGGGGACTGGAAGGAAAAGTGGGGAAGAGGAGCCTTGAGGCTCAGTGATACTACACTGATTTGGAAACAAGACCACTAGAGACCTCAGGGGCAGAGAGGTGATTGGTCCGAGGGCCACAGGCATCAAGTCTGGGACACTGTCGACTTTGTGGGCCTGGCTGGGGTCTCTCACAGCCTGATCTCACCATCTACTCCTTGCTATCCTTCCTCATCTCCTTGTCAATCCCACCTGTCCTTGAAGGCCAGATCCGAGCCTCCTGGTGCTCACACTTTCCCTGCTGGGCCCCTTGGGTCTCTGGTCTGAGCCTCTAGGCAACACTCACAGATTCACCTTTCCCTGCCAGTTACAGTGCAGGCTCCTCCAGGGCAGGGATTGATGGCCCATGTGCAGAGCACAGTGGCAGGCACAGAGGGGATGCTTAAGAAGTATTTAACCATGCAACTAGTTAGCTGGGTACCCTGGACAAATCAGCTAGTCCCTCTAAACCCCTGTATCCCACCCATTCAAAGGGGCTAACTGTACCAGCAGTGATACATACCAGCTGTTGAGGCCAAAACCCCAGAGCTGTGGTTTCCTGGACACTGAATACAGGAAGTGTTTCAGGAAGGTGAGACCAACAAGGGCTGTCGCTGACTTTCTTTTTTTAATGCATTAACTTTTCTTTTTTTTTTGGTACCAGGGATTGAACTCAGGACCTTGCTCTTGCGAGGCAGGCAGCAGAACTACTGAGCTAAATCTCCAGCCCCTGTTGCTGACTTTTACACAAGCAGTTCGGGTGGGGTGGTTGGTGGTTGGGGCAAAAGCCCCCACAGTAGTCTAAGAATGAGAGACTCTAAGAAAGTAGTGACCTAGTTTTAGAATCTAGTTACAGGCAGGTTAAATAAATAATAAAACCCAAAGGCTACACATGCCTGTAATCCCTGCACTCTGGGAGGCTGAGGCAGGAGAAGCACAAGTTTGAGCCCAGCCTGAGCAGCATAGAGAGCCTACCTCTAAAAAAATGACTGGGGGTGTAGCACACTGCAAACGGCCTTGGGTTCAATCCCAAGCAACACACACATATATGAAAAGAAAAAACAGAGAAAAGGAAAATAAAAAGGTGACAGTGAAGTCTATTGAACACTGAAACAAGCAGCTGAGGCCACACCACCAAGGCCCCCTGGTATAGTGTCTGTTGAGAGACAGCAAATGGAAGCAAAAGAGCATCCAAGAGGTCTGGGAACAGGCAGACCCCTAAGAGTGAGCAGGCGTACCCCAAAAGGCACTGTAGGCCGACTGCAACACAGTAGCCAAACCCAGGAGCTGAGCAGCTGGAATTCTCAGAGTTAAAGAGCTGGCAGGGTCCCACAGTGGGGAGAAACTGTAGGAGTAGAGTCGAAGTCAGGAACACAGGGTCTAGGAAAGAGAAGGACCAGATATAAATGGGGAAGGGAAACAGAGCCAGAATTCTCAAAAGTAAGTTGAACTATTTTCAAATACTTCACAGAAGAGGAAACTCTGTGAACCAAGCCACCCTTCCAAAAGTTCAAGGAAACTTAGATTCACGTAAAACAGAGACAGAAGAATATGTAGATCCAATTCCACAGCAAGGTAAGCATAGGACAAGAATAAGGAGCAGAGAAACAACCTTCCAGACAATGAAAGCTTGCCAGAAAGACGTGTTCACAGAACAGAGCATAGTAAGAGACAAAAACAAAATGATACAGACAGCAAAGAACAAAATGAATCAAAATTTGGAAAACTTCAAAACGGGGCAAAAGTTTGGAGGATATACCAAAGAAGCACACTGTATAAGGAAGAGTATTGACTCAGAACAATCAGCACCAATCCATGTTGTAGTAAAATTACTGGACTTTAAGTAGAGAACCAAAAAGAAGAAAAAAGCCTTTAGGCACAAGGTAAAAGGGGGATATTACTGTCAGATTATCATTAAAGTCTGACAGTCATGCTTCATGTCAGAGGAATGGTGAGTCAAGGAAAGAAAACGTGAACAAGGAATGAATACAGTTTCCACAAGCCCTTCCTTCGGGCTGCTAGAAAACCTGCTTCTAACAGCAGAGTAACTAGACAGTGATTGAGTAAGAAAACTGTTCTCAGAAATTATACCAGTGGTGACTGTTATGGTTTGCATCTGGATGTCCCCCAAAGCCTCGCGAGGATGAGATGAGACTTTCTTTTTCAGAGGTAGTTGAATCTGGAATGTGTGGTGCTGGGGTTAAGGGTGTGTGATTACTAAACCACTACACGTGAATGATTGGTTTGGTACCGCTCTAATCCCGGTAGTCTGAATAAGATAAAAGGGGCAGAAAGATGCTGTTAAACTCTCTCTTGTTGCATTTTGGTGTATTCTGCTACCATGGCCATGAACTATTTCTCTTGGTACCTTTGTTATCTTGTGCATACCATGTTGTTTCTGCTTTGCCATGCTTGCTTGCCAACCTAACCTTGGAGCCAGCAGATTTTTCTGAAACCTCTATCAACTGTAAGCCAAATAAACCCCTTCACCTCTAACTTTGGGTGTCGGGTATTTTGTCTCAGCAATGAGAGAAAAGTAACTAACACAGTGATAGAATTAGGATCGTTAAGAAAGTCTGTGTATGTCATTAGGGATATCACTAGTCATGGTAATACATTCTAACTCTTATCATTCACTGTGCCCTTAAGAACTTAGATCCTCAGCATGGAATGAGGAAGATGCAGATGTAATCTTGATAAGGGTAGAAACAATTCTCTAGGTATGACTTTGAACCGGAAATATCTACATGTACCCATAAGGCACTCCCAGTTCTGTGTGAGCATCCCCAGGTCTTAGATTGAATGTACCCGAAGGACCAGGTGGGCATCATTAGCCCAGATGTCTTATGCCCTTTCTGACCCTCTCCTGACTCTCCTGAATTGAAAAACTCTAGCCAGTGACATTCTCTCAGGTGCTATCCAGGCAAGGGGAGTGGCGTGATAGCAGCCTCCCTGATTGGCTCCACTTTCCCATAGGAGGAAGTCCCTTTTCACACTGTCAGCCAGTCAGCCTCAGGTGATAGCACAGCAGAGAGAGTAGGTCACTTCCTATCTTGCCCCCCTTTCAATCGGTCTCTCTTAGCCATTGCTTTCCCTGGAAGAAGTCAGCTGCCAGGACTCACATGCTAAGGTACCCCAGGGAGGAATGAGGGGTCCTTCATGCAGAGCCTTCTCTTCTGTCAGAGCAGATCTCAGCTCTTGCTGTCGTCTTGACAACCATCTCATGCTATGCCCTAACCCAGGACTACCCAGGTAAGCTGCTCCTGAATTCCTGGCCCAACCCATAGAAATTGTGAGACAATTAGTGTTTATTCTTGTAAGCAGCTAATTGGGGGGGATAAAGCTATATAACAATAGATGCCTAATATGGTGCACACATACACACTCACACATGCACACACCATACACATGTACAATCTCACATACAAATCTTGATCCCTGAAATGCTATTTATTCCTGCTGTATATACTCTACCTATACTCTATTTTCTACATTGTTTTCTACTTCATTCATTCGATCTAAAAGACAGTAACAGTGATCCACTAAAGTGATTGCACAGCCACACATAAGCATGGGGCAGAATGCAGTAGGATGGAGCAGGAACAGGTAGATTATCATTTCTTCGGCTTTGTTCTCATTCGACACTGCCATAGCCATGACCTTAATGAGAGTAAGTTTCTGTTGTTTATAAGCCACCCACTCCATGGTATTCTGTCACAGAAGTCCAAGCCGACCGAGACACCATTACCCTTCCCAAATCCTAAACCCCATCTCTCACCAGAGGTAATCTCTGTGCTAGGCCCCTTATTTCCTACACCATTTCAGTTTTCCCATGTATATAGGTTTATTTTCAGACAGGTTTCTATTTTGTTTTATAAGCATTGATCATATTGCACACACTCTTTTGCAACTTTTTCTTTTGCTTAGCTAATACCATGGCTTTGAGATTTATCCAGTAACTCCAGTTCATTCATTTTAACTGCTGCCTGCTATTTCATCGCATGAAATTAACCACGACTCATCTGCCCTTTCCTCCTGCTAAGAGTCATGGAGACTCTTTTCTCTTACAAACAATTTGCACTGAACATTCTTGTGCGTCTGATGCACACTGTCTCTTGGGTATATAGCTAGACGTTGAATCTCCTCAGGGAACAGGGTTAAATACATAAACAGTCCTGGTAAACAGCTCTTACTAACATTATCATTGTCTCATCCTCATATCCCAGACTACAGGTCTGGATTTGTTTCTGTTTAGTAAACAGATCCTTAAAGAGAGGGCAGGGAGTCAGGCTAAAAACAACAAAAGCCAAAAACTGAAACATCTGCTTCTCTTTGAAGTGAAGATGAGAAGCGAGCCTGTGGAATAATGGACACTAGTCATTTTTAATAGCTGTAGGAATGCCCAGGCTCCCGTTGCCAACAACTCTTCTCTGTGTACTCTGCCTATCAAAATCTGTGCGTGGACCTAGTTTTTACCCATAAACTCAGGAAGAAAGGGTTGACCCTGCCTGGATCCATGTAAGCTAGGTAGGTATAATAAGCTTTTTCTCCCATGAGCTAGAGAGTAAACTATTTAGGCCCTTTCCACTTTGTGGACCTCACAGATTCAGTTACAAGTACTGAACTCTGACTTCCTAACATGAAAACAGTCAGACTTCATGCAGGAGCTAAAGACCATAGCTATGTTCCAATAAAACTTTATTTACAAAATCAGACAGAGGGCCAAACCGGGCCAATAAGCCATAGTTTACTGATCCCTGTCCTAAATAGAAGAAAACAATTTAGGCTAGCAACATGTAATACATATGCCAAAATTTAAACTTTATTTTGCTTGACATTTTCTCCTTTTAGATTAGCACCATTCTAAAAACTAGTCCTAGTAAGCATGTGGGTAAACAAATACCTTCACATGCTGCTGTTAAGAATATGGAAGCTGGTGCATTTGTTGTTTTCCCAACAACTAAATAGCCATGAACCCTGGATGGGCCACAAACCCCCCTGGGCACTGGAGACATAGAAAGTGTACCTCCACCCTGCTCTTAATGAAGCTAGACTGGTGAAAGAGGTGGACATTCATGCAGCTCCTGGCTGGTTGCAAAAGTGGAGAGATGAAAACATTCACACAGCTCTTACTGAAAATATCCACAGTGCTGTGGACACATCTGACCAATAAGAGCAGCAATAACTAAAAACAAATAACATGCCTGGCCACCTCCAGCCTGAGGGGTCAAGTATATTCTTAACCTCATGTCAGAACATGAGAGGTTTGGGGGACTGAACCCACATTGAGAGACCAACCCAGTTCTAGCATTTACTACCTGGGGAACCTAGAAAGAGCGTTTTCTTGTTTGGTGTCACACCCTCCGAGTAAATGGAGATAATCACAGCACTGACCTGATGAAGACGATCATGAACATGCTGTGAAACAGACCCCATAAAGCACTGCTCTATTTTGGATCTTGATTATCCCCCAAAGGGCAGGTTTTGAAGCCTGGTCCCCAGCCTGTGGTGCAATTATTGGAAGGTGAGAGAACCTTTGGAAGGTGAGGCACAGTGGGAGGAAGCTGGGTGACTGGGGGTGTGGGCTCGAATGGCATATGTGGACACAGCCCTTCCTCTCTTTGTTTCTGGACTACCATGAGGTGAGCAGCTTTGCTCCACTACACACTTCTGGCCATGACATTCTGCCTCACTAGACCCAAAACAACAAAGCCAAGTGACCATGTGCTGAAATTCCTGAAGCTATGAGGCCAAACTTTTCTTCCTTTTAAGTTGATTTTCTCAGGTATTTTGTTATCATGATGGAAATCTGATGGCACAAGCTCTAACACATAGCAGGCTCTGCATCAACAGCACCCCACTATGTTCACTCATGCAATAGCATTTGCTGAGAGACTCCCCAGTCCCCAGACTCATTCCAAGGCTGGCTGGAACTGCTAGGATTTTAGGCTCCAGGGAGGAGCCTCCTGAGTCTCGGGTCAGCGGCAACTCCAGATTGCACCATTCAGGTAGGTGTAACAACTACAGACCATTGATGCGAGTCCTCAGTTTGCATCTTCCCCCAGCTCAGGCAACTTCTCCCTCAGCCCTCCTGATGTGGGTAGGTCTTGTCCAATCAGCTGAAGGTCTGAATAGAATAAAACAGCTGACCCTTCTTTGGGTAAGAGAATCATTGCTGATGGCCTCCAGACTAGAACATTACTTCCCCCTTGCATTCCACAGCTAAATAAAACATAAGTTCTTCCAGGGACACAAGCCTGTTGGTCATAGGACTGGAACTAAACCATTGGTTTTCTTGGGTATCCTGCTTGCCAACTGCAGATCTTGGGATTTATTGGCCTCCATAATACGTGAGTTAATTTCTTATAGCAAATCTCACACACACACCAACCTCCTTTTTGGTTTTGTTTCTCTGGCAAGCCTTGGCAAACACAGCCCAGTTCCTATCTTGCACTGCTGGCCAAGTCATAGGACAACTGACTTCAGGTTGCCAGCATAGTGTGGTCCATGCAGATGCCCCTTGGAGGTGTGCACTGTGTGCCCTGCAAGGCTCTGCACTAAAGCTGGTGCTCTGCCCCTCTAGGGTCTCCCATTAACACCTCATCTCCCCAGGACCATGTACTCAGCCCTCATGGGTACAGCAACGGGCAACTAACTCTACCATCTCCAAGTGTCTTCCCTTACCTCCAGGCATGCATCGGAATCCA